GTCGGGAGCATCCCGCCTGGGAGGGTGGCGTGCCGGGGCAGAGCGAAACGACGGCGCTGGGCTGCGAGGTCGCAGGTGGGCCCTGGGTGGCTGCAGACCTGCGCTGCCGCATCCCGCTGCCCAGGAGAAAGCTCTTCCAGCGCCCTTCGGAGCAACCGCTAGATGGAGCGGGCAGCGCGGACACGGCGCCGTCCGGGCAGGCCTGGAGGGCTGCTGTGGAGGGGAAAGCTGGTTTGAAGCCTCCCTCCTGCCTTCCCTTCGGTGCAATGAGCAGAGCGGCTCCAGCTTTTCTCCTCTTGGGGTTTCTGAACTCCTTAGTGGGGAGTAGCTGTGGGTAGAGGGTGGTTAAAGGCTCGAGGCTTTGCAAGAGATCGCAGAAGACGCAATGGTTCTCCCTCGCATCCTACAGCCCCAACGTGGAGTGCAAGAGCATGCGCTTTGCGATGATGAAGGAGCACCGGGCGGTGACGGGAGACATCACTGCGTTTGATGGCTCTATTCTGTACCTGCCCATCCTGCTCCCTCAGGTGAGGTGTAACGCTGGTGCCAGCCAAGCTGGCTTGCCGAGGCCTGCCCTGTGGCACCGAGGATTAATCTGCACCTGGGTGAGCTCCTTGCAGCAGGAGAGGCTGTTTTAACCAGTCCTGAGGTGCGAGGGTGCACCCAGCCTGGGGGCCGGCTAGGAGAGCATCCCTCCTGCCCTGGCTGAGGCGTCTTCTCCCCCGCAGCCAGTTGATCTGAAGTCTCAGAGGAGGACGGATGGGGAGGAGATCAGCATAACCGTTCAGATGACCAAGGTCCTGGAGCCCAGTTCGGACCTGTGCCTCCCATTTTACAATGTGGTTTTCAGGAGGTGAGGGAAGGCACAGGCCCCCTTCGAGCTCTGCTTTAGCCTTTCTCCCCTGGGAGCCCTGAAATGATCCTGGTTTCTCTTTTCTAGAGTGATGAGAATTTTAGATATGAAACTTGTTGGGAGAAATTTTTTCGACCCTACCAGGGCTGCCGTGCTGCAGCATTACAGGTGGGTGCTGGAGACGATCGCCTCCTGCGTGCTTACGGTTGCTGCCGCTCAGGTGTGCCGATGCTGAGTGCGATGGGGAGGTGGCTGGCCTTCAGCGAGTCTGTCTAGGGCCAGGCTGCAAGGCCAGGGGTCTCCTGAGGAGCATCCCTGAGGCTTAGCTGCAGCAGGCGCAATAAATTTCTCTCTCGGGCCATGTGACAGAGCAGGGCTGTCCTGCGTGGCTCCTTGTTCGTGCGGACGGCTCTGTCGCCGTCGCAGCTCAGTAACTCGGGGCTGGAAACTCGGAAGTCTTTGCTTGGTTAGCTCTCGCCCTGCTGCTGGCCAGCTCTGGTTAGCATGACCTTAGAGTACCTATTTTCTGCAATGCAGTTCAGGGGTTATTAGCTGAAAGCTGGCAGCCAGCTGAGAAATAAGTTCTGTATGTTTTGAGTGCTCTCTGGCTAGCAGGACGGCTGCCCTGCTCGTCTGGCACAGCCGTGCAGACAGCTCTGGTGTTAACGTGAACTCTGTTGTGGTTCTTCCCCTTGGCGAAGGCTGCAGGTTTGGCCAGGGTACTCCGTCAGCATCCGGAAGAGGGACGGAGGACTCTTCCTCTCGGTAGATGTTATCCACAAAGTCATCCGGAGTGACTCTGTCCTGAATTTCATGTAAGAGGAGAAAAACCCGGACTGCAGGGCTCTGAGGACCAGGGCTGGTGCTTCGGGGAGCTGCCTTCCGGCGTCTGGGACCGGCTCTCAGCAAGGGCAGTGCTGCGTGCTTTCCCCGAGGCCTCCGGTGTCTCTGGGGGAATAGCCAGTGCTAGCGACTGTTGTGGCTTCTGCAATGAGACCGCTGGGTCGGAGGCCATCGGTTTGGGTAGCGAGAGCAGGGCTGTGAGCACCTCCTGTCCAAGGAGGAAGCTGAAATCCAGCTCGCCTTTCTCCCCGCCGCAGGCACGCGATCTACCAGCAGAACATAAGCAGCTTCCAGGATGAATGCACCAAGCAGCTGGTCGGCAGCGTGGTCATCACCCGCTACAACAACCACACGTACCAGATCGACGATATCGACTGGAGCAAGACCCCCAAGGATAGCTTCACCCTGGCCAGTGGCGAGGAGATCACCTTTGTGGACTACTACAGGTAGCATCACTGCTTCGTTAGCTTTGCGAATGACCTGACACCCAGCTCGGATGCTGAACAGCCTTTTCCGAGGCTGACGAGCTGCATGCTTTAGTGCAGGAGCAGGAAACCGACTTGTAGTTTCCTCTCCGTACGGTTTTTCCAGCAAAACCTATGGGATCACGGTCCGAGAGCTGGACCAGCCGCTGCTGATTCACAGGCCCAAGGAGAGGCTGACGCCGGAGGGGAAGGTGAGTGTCTGCTGCAGAGGAACTCCGGCAGAGCCCTGTGCGTCCCGGCCCGTCTGTGATCTCTGCTCTAGGAGCCCAGCTCTGCCGAGGCTGAGACAGGAATGGGGCTGGTGGCTCCCCAGACCGGACGGGGAGGTCAAACCCGCGGTCTTTCCTCCCTCAGCTCCTCCAGCCCGCGTCTTACCCGTCCCTGGGAGAGCAGGGGCTTGCGGTGCCCTTTCCGCGCGCAGCAGCATGCTAACAGGGCCTGGCCTCTCGTTCCCTGCAGCATCAGCTCAACATGATACTGCTCGTGCCAGAGCTCTCTTTTATGACCGGGATTCCTGAGAAGATGAGGAAGGACAATCGAGCGATGAAGGTCAGAGCGTGCTTGTGTCAGACAGTCCCCACGTGCGTGAGCCTGCATCCTGGGAGAGGGCCTGGTGCTTGGCAGGCCGTTTCCCAGGACAGGACTCTCGCCACGCCTGACTCTGCTGGGCTCTCCTAAACCTTGGCCCTCGTGTTCGCCTGGCGGGAGGTGCAGCCCAGCCAGCGGCTAGTTTGGAGAGCTGGGACCCAGCCAGCTGTTGCCTCCCCCTCCCGGGGAACCAGCACCGGAGATCTGACTGTGGTTTTACGCAGGTTTTTGGATGCGGTGCAGGGTGGGGGATACAGGGCTGTGGTTCCCAAACGTGTCTCCTCCTCCATGTGTCTGGCACAGGATCTGATGTACGAGATGTCGCACAGCCCCAAGCAGCACTACACGCGCCTGAGCAGCCTCCTGCACAGGATCGAGGAGAACCCGGACGCCTCGCAGGAGCTGATGCGCTGGGGCCTCCGCCTGGACAAGGACATCTGCAGGGTAAGGGCTGCTGCCCCAGCGCGGCAGCAGGGGCTATCGCTGGCGCTGAGCAGGCGCCGGGAGGTTGGGGAGCTGCTGCTGCCCTCCTCGGAGCCGATATCTCTGCGGCGCTGAGCTGTGCC